CCCTCCCTAACTAATACCTAATATCTAACTATGCCTCTAAACCTTATCCGAAATGACGTTTTACTTTACATTTAGTGGCTGTTTCATCAGGCGGAGAAAAAAAGCAGGGCCCAAGACATAGTCCACCCTACTAAGAGTAACTATCCACCTATCTCGTAAGTTTGAATCCTAATCCACACCTTAAAGGTAAATGTGCCCAGCCGAGAGCAAAGGTGAGGCCAACGTGGATGGAACCATATTGGGCAGCAAGAAGTTAGTTAGTTTGTCCCCAGTCAGTTACTTAGTTAGTTAGTCACTAGTAGTTAGTAGTAATCCGCTCGCTTTGAGTTGGCCGCGGCACTAAAGTAGCCTGACTAACTAGTTAATTAGTTAACTAGTGTTAGTTGAGTAAAGCGATCGGGGATCATTCTTGGGTTTCTTTTGGTGTTAAGATGATATTCATCTTGTTGGCGCTGTAGGATGAGGTGGTATGTATGGAGAGGGTTGGAGCGGTTTGAGTTTGGGCACTTAGTAGTGGCGATTTTGATAGTCAGTATATAGTGTTAGGTAGATAAGGGTCTCATAGAGGGATGTTCAATTGTTTCATTCATCACAAGAAATGTAGGTAGATGCGTTGGAGATGCTGTAAGACTTGCCAATCCAGATCGCAAGTGGGGAAAGCACCAACTGGCATTTGAAACTGGCGGGCCAATCGGCGGGGCGCTTGGGCCACGCGAACCTGAGAAAAGTGGAAGCAAAGCAATCCCATCCATCCATCTGCATCTCTCTTTCTTGAGGCTGCCAGCTCTTTTTGTTTCCTCACCGGTCTTGCCTTGTCTTGTCGTCTCTCTTTTATTTCCCCTCCCTTCTTCTTTTGTTCTCTTTCTCTCTCCCTCTTCTTTCTTTCCTTGTGGGATCAACTACATTCTGGGAAAGACTGTGAAAGTGGGATCATGTGGTATTGCGCAGCCTATTAAGAGGGGGAAAAACTAAGCTGGATTTCGAGTGGAGCTCTCCATAATCAAAACACTCTTCTCACCCGGCAACGCTTCCAGTATTAGTTTGACGTTGCAACACAGGTGATTTTTTTTCCCCAATTTGCTTCAATTTTATTTCCCTCGTGTCTGCTACAAATTGTTTAAGCTTATTACCCATGCTAACCAACCAGGAAATGCCAGCGAAACGGTGAAACCCTCGCTCCTTGCTGTACTCCCCGCAACCCTTCGGTTTCCGGCTTCGATCGTTCGCTCGATCCTTGCGGGCACCTCGAATTTTCTCCTGCTCTTCTCACCATTGGACGTTGATTCTGCTTCTCTGCCGGTCTGCTCTTCTTCGCCACGCCTGTTCCTTTCCCTTCTTCTCAGCCCGACCTGCAGTGCCGTTCCTTCCTCGTGATAGGTCATGTGTACAACACGATTGAACCTTGGCGCGACGATAGTGGTACACTCTCATTTTAAGTGATTCGGGAACCCGTCACTCTCTCAAAATGGTCAAGGCGGACGTGCGGAGGGATTACTACGCCGACCTGGGTCTGACCCCGAGCGCGGAAACAGAGGAGATCAAAAGACAGTTTCGCAAGCTAGCGCTCAAATACCATCCGGATAGAAACCCCGGGAAAGAGTTGGAGTTCATCTCCAAGTTCCAGGCGATTCAGGCAGCCAATGAGATTCTCAGTGACCCTCAGCAACGACTGAAATATGACACGGATCGCTTGCGCGCCGGTTACGGCAAGCTCTACGGCCCTCCCAAAGCCAATACCGCTCGAAAGGCACCTCCGAATCCCTACGCATCCCCATATACTCCGAAACCTCAGCCTCCGAAGACCCGTCCCCAGTCTTTTCATCATAGTCCATCTGCTGGCGCTCAACGCTATGCTAGCTACGCGCGAGCGGCCCCGAAACAGGCATGGGAGAAGAGGCCAGATGAAGGGCAAACACGAGCCGACGCTTACAGAGGGTTCCAGGAGATGAAGGGCAATGCTATGCCGGGTGGCTGGTCTTCTTTTGACCCCCGCACCGGTTATGCTGGCACTCCACCTAGGCCTAACGGGCAGTCTCCGAGGCCTAAATCTGCCTACGAGTACTTCAAGAAATCCCCCAAACCGACGAGTCCCGAGCCGACTCGGACGCAGTCCGCAAAGAAGAAGCAAGGATTCGCCCCGCGCGCTGCTGGCGGCGATGAGCCCATGGCCGCCAATACTTCTGCGTATACGAGCGTTCCCCGGGCTGAGCGCTCGCAAACGCCAAATTCGTTTTACGCTCCGGCTCCCTCACCCACGGCTAGGAAATCGGCAGCAGCCGCGCAACATCGGGCAGAGAACACAAGTACCCCAGACATTGAACGAGTGAGAAGCAGATATGCCACCGCTGGCGGAGAGCGCACATTTTTCTCGAGTGCCGGGCTTGGACGCTCTGCTAGCATGCGCGATTCGACGGCGAGTCCTCAACCCCGTCCCAGGACCAACCCACCTAGCCCCACTCCTCCGGAGAGTGGCAGACACCGGAGCGCTAGTCCCAAGTTGAAGAAGGATAACCGAAATTATACATCTACAAGCTCGAGTGATTCGGAGGATGATGACTTCTTGGCGCGCAAGCCCAAGGCGGTCCCTAAAAGCCGGCTTCGTGCCCATAAGAAGTTCAGCGACTTCCACACTGAGAAGAGTCGTAAGACAACTGGTAAGCGATATCATCAGGAAGAATTAGTCTACCGCCCGCGGTTAAAAACCTTAAAAGAGTAGCTGGGCAGCCGAGTTGGTGGATGAGGATAGAATCTAGTTGCTAACGAAGACCTTCTTAAGGCCTTGACTCTGAGAAACCCAGTCCACCCAAGAATGTATTCGATACATCTGCATTCTTTGGCGACGGGAGTCCCCTAAAAGCGTATGTTGAACTATACCCATCAATAGGTCATAAGTTAACTGGTTTACGTGTATAGCTCCGGCGCCTCTAATGCGGACGCACATACCCCGAACAGGAGTTTCAAGAGCAGCAGCCATGAGCAGCTCCGTCAGCCGTTCTTTGCCCGGAGCTGGGAAGGCACAGACTTCTTTGGTGCGGCGCAGTCGGACAAGGAGTCGCAAGATTCACGCGCGCGCGGTCGAAGTGCAAACCGAGATATCTTTGGTCAAACAGCGGGCTCTACGGGTGCCTCAAACCCCAAATCGCCGCGCTCAGAGTCCGCGACTTCCCAACAACCCACGCCTTTCGCCCAGGCGAAGTTCTCTGCCGATGCATGGATCGAGGAGCTGCGAAAGGCGAACATCTCGTGGGCCGTTCCGACCGCTGACAACGCCAAGCAAGCACAGCCAACTGCCTCACAGCGCCAGAAGAGTCCCCGGAAGCAAACCAGGCCTGGTGCTAAACCCCGGCCCACTGCCCAAGCCAGTGTGACTACTGAAGCTGAAGAAGCCGGGTCCACCATCAATGGAGAGACTACTCAAGAGCCAGCCAAGACCGATACTGCCGATGTAGAAGCTATGGACGTCGACGATGTTCCGCCTGTCAACACCACCGCACCAGCTGCAGAGCCAGAGAAGACCAAGGAAGACGAGGTCAAGGAAGATCAGCCCAAGGAAGACCCAGCGAAGGCAATGCCCCCACCGAAGATGAGGCCAACCTCCAGGAAAGGAAAGGTCCATCACACGAAGTCATTTGACTTTTCCAACCTCACCAGCACGATGCCCTTCACACCGACCAGCAATGGCGGCATTGACGACCTGCAAGACATCCAAGCCAACCTCCCATTCGAGTCCCGCCCCAACGTCCCGAGGACAACAATGCGCGATGTCCGAGCTCGCCAATTAGTCTGTCCGAACCCACCAAAGCGACCAACTGCACCAGAACTAGTCCCCATCAGCGCAGGGTCCCAGCAACTTGGTCTCCCTCGAGCAGCATGGGAGCGCTACGCCGCAGAAATGAACACATACATGCGCGAATGGAACACCTTCAACCGCCGTATCCTGCGCCACTTCAACGCGCGCCAAGAAGCCATCGAGACAGGAATGGCCCCGAACTGGATCAGCGCCGTTGGAGACTCCGCGCGTCTCAAAGTAGACGCCCCGGACCAGGACGACGAAGACGACACCAAAAAGGCTGATGGCAATGAAAGCGACGATAGCATGGTAGCCGGCAGCGGGAAAGCCGGATTCAGCGCCTACTTGCGCGGACTGGATGAAGACGCCAAGGTCATGAAGCATTGGGAAGTCGCGAGGGAAATGCACAGAGAGTGTATTCTTAAGCTGGGGGAGATGCGCGAGTGGATTTTAAATGGGGGGAAGTTGGTATAGGCGATTAGAGGTGCATGAGCTTGAGTATAGCTCTACAGAGGCGTTTTAGAGACGGCCGAGTATTATTGATACTACTACTATTGATTGCATTGGGTATGGGCGTTGGCGTTATATTGCTTACTTACTACTTACTACTGAGGCATTTGGAAGACGGGAACACATACATGTATCATAGTCTATCGTGGTCATGAATTCGTTTGATATTGGATAGAGAGTATAATAACGGGTTGTCATCTCATCCCTTGTCTCTTCACGCCTCGAAATCCTACATACTGTTTTCCACTTAGTTAGTAGCAGGTCGCAGCATACTGCCACACTATATCAATTGTACCATCTACTGTCTTCACATATCATGTACCGAAGTCTGAAAGTGTTGAATCTACCTACCAGGTAATTTCAACGATGTCTCACGATTACTTGTCAATCTTGTAGTAGTAGGTATATATGAAAGACTAAATAGATAATTTCATTCTCAGTACTTACTACTCTAAATGGTACTCATTGAATCGAGACATTCGGTATTAGCACTACTACTACTACTACTACTACTACTACTACTACTACTACTACTACTACTAGAATGTAGTAAAAGATTGCGCAGCAAAACTAACCGTGATGTGGTTTCCTCATCCATACTCAGTCACTAGACATGGTGAAGACTCCATACTGTAGTTAGCGCATTCAGGAGGCTTAGGATGCTCTTCGCAATAAATAGTTCACTCTCTACCCCGTCTTTTCATTCCATCTTCCCCTTCCCAGTAGACAAATACGAACGGATAAATAGCCGAACAAACATATAGATCAGAGGCCCAAGATACAAGCCCCCCAACAGCAGCGCGCCCAAATGATCTGGTTTATGGAGACAGGGGAGCACAGTGTGCTGCATTTCAGCGCGGAGATCATCATCCCCGCCAACTGAGATGCGCGCATGCGGTGCATCATACGAAACGAACAGATAGCTCAAACCCAGGGTATACCCAATGGTAAACTGGGCAATCTGTACAGCCGTCAATGTCCGCTTCAGGCGGATGGGGATTGCTATTTTCATTGTCCGGAGAGCGTAGTATAGATACTGCATGATTACCGGGTTCTCCCTGGTTAGCACTAGTATATGTCTGTAGAGATACAATGTATCGAGCAGCAGCAGTATTGATGAGCTTATGGACTGACCATTAATGCATGAACACCGCTATTCAGCAGTGCAGCCACCAAGCAGTGAGGCGACGTCGAACGCATGAGCGCCCATGAACCGACCATGACTCCGGAATGGTGGTATGTTTGTAAGAAGGTGCTTTCTTTCCCCTTCAGGATCAGAATCATCGTGTCCGTTACCTCGTAAAACTTGGACATGTACATGGCCCAGCAGAAATATCCCACGCCTTTCTGCCATAAGCCATCACCATTCTCAGTATCCCATACAGCGGCAGTGACGTTTGGCACGCTGGTATAAAGAGTGGGCCTTCCTTCAATGTGACATAATGTCGCAGCCACATGCACAGAATATGATTCTTGCTTTATGGACGGTAGGTGTATGTAGACTGTTGAGAGCAATCCGCAAGATACCCAGGCAGAGAATATCGAGAGACCAATGTTATGGAAAAGCACGAGGTAGTGAAAGAAGCGAGTCTGACTCAGTCGCCATGGCTTGTTTCGTCTTTTGCGATTGATGGAGTTGAGATATATGATGATTAGGACATATGAGCTCGCAAAGATGGTTGGGAATGCGATATGTAGAGGATAGTCATACACCTCGGCAGATATGTTGAGTGGCCTACTCCAGGATCTTTTTGCATCTGCTGGACGGAAAATTGGGTTGTGATGGATGGATAGGAATTGGATAAGATTAACTGGTGGTAGAGAAAAGTGCAGAGATAGAGAGTTGTTCATTCTGGAGTTGTGGAGAGACTCGAGGGAAGGCTGCAGTACCTTCCTCTTCGAGTTGGACCACCTGGGACATGGCTCCTTCTTTAATATGCTTTACTAGTAGACAAGGGAAAGACGGAACATTCTTTGCCATCTAGGTTAGTTGTATGAATGCTGCTGTCAACGCTTGGAATCATCACGGCATGGTGTACGAACAATCAGCAGCAGCAATAATTCCAGATAACCTGTTGATTATATCCATGATTCGGCTTTATTTCTATTTTATAGTAGTATATATCATCTTGTTAATTACCGCACAGTATAAATCCTCACTTTTCGCTATTGTAAAATCAGTGACGAAAGTAGAGCACGTAGCAATGTAGCGTTCCTCGGGTGCTACTTTTATTGTGTACATCTCTGGCCAACCTCATGCCCGTGTAACCACTTGCATCCCCACTATCTACTGTGATGTGTAAACATTCGAAGTCTCACAAAAAAAATGCCTGTGAAAGTCTTCGAGTAGCATGTTCTAGTGCCGGGGGTCTGCATAAGGTAATGTCGTCCTGTCTTTAACATTCCGGAATGGATGTCTTCGCCATGCCCATTCATATGTCCTCCTTGTACCGTCCATCATCATAGCACTATACTTACTTAGCCAACTCACATCAATTGCTATTGTATAGATCTTGTATCAAACCCTCCCTAGTGTCTCTCCTCTCTGGAGGTGAGGGTCTCTAGCCGAAGTAGGCAATAATAACACACCTCTGCCGAGATCACCTGACTCAAAATGCCTCCAAATTGCCTAGCTTAGGGGTACGTAGGGCACTAATCTTCAATAGGCAATGGTGTATTGTGCCGTCCAATACCGCATCCGACCGACCCCGCCGCGGGGAACGAGCACCGGTACCGGCAATACGGAGACCCTAAGAAAGAAGTCATGGGGAGGAAGCGGGAAACACCGAAAGGCCCGCCCAACAACCGGATTTGAGGGTAACGGTATGGTAAGCAAGTAAGTAAAAGGAAATGGATTAGTAGTAGGAATCACTCATGGCTATCGTTTAGTTACTCTGTATAGTAAACTGTGGCTCTGCCTCTCTTGTCTCACCGAGTTCGTCCCGGCCCCCGCCGCTGGCTGAACTTGACTGCCCGCCCGCCCATATATCATTCTTTGCCTCCGCAGCCAGTTCCCCTCCGCTGGTTCTTTTTTCGGCTTTTGGATTTTGACGGTCGCGAGGTTTTTCTACGGAACCTACGTTGCTGCTCCAGTCACTGCAGATTATCTACACAAGATTTGTCTCAGTGTGCTTTAATTGATCTTTACTTCTATCCTATCCTCTTCTACTTCACTCTATTAGAGATTGTTGCTGCTGCTCTCTTGAGATCAGTGACTCATTTCATCCCGCATTCAGTGCCCCGCGTTGCCGTTCGATCTTGACTGACTATTTGTGTCTTCTTGCTTCGCACGCACACCAAACACATCTACCGCTGGGTAAATTCGCAATTGAGCTGCTTAATTGAGATATATTTCGTGGCTTCACATTCAATTCGATAATCATGGGTGTCACAATTGTTCTGGGTAGTCAGTGGGGTGATGAAGGTGGGTTGTCATCCTATTTACATGGCAGTTCACAGGTCGATTCGAATCGATTGATCGATCGATTGGAATGACAAAATTTGGGCATGGCTGATTTATTGCGATTGCAGGAAAGGGAAAGATTACCGACATGCTTGCGCAGGAGGCTACGCTTTGCTGCCGTGCCGCTGGCGGCCACAGTAAGTCTTTCCTCTTCTCTCTTCGGAGAATAATGTTTAATGGAATGGATAGATGCCGGTCACACTATCGTCCACGGTGACAAGACCTACGACTTCCACATCCTTCCCTCCGGTCTTGTCTCCCCCGCCTGTGTCAACCTGATTGGCGCCGGTACCGTGGTGCACGTCCCTAGTTTCTTCAAGGAGTTGGCCTCTCTGGAGGACAAGGGTCTGGAGGGCGCTGGAAAGCGCATCTTCATCTCCGACCGTGCGCACGTCTGCTTGGACCTTCACTCCGTCGTGGATGGCCTGGAAGAGGCCAAGCTGGGCGGTCGCAAGGTCGGTACTACCGGCAAGGGTATCGGTCCCTGCTACAGTGACAAGGCCGCCCGTCGCGGTATCCGTGTTGGTGAGATTCTCGACGAGGCTCTCTTCGAGCGTAAGCTGCGCTCTTTGGACGCCGGCTACCGCGCTAGATTCGGCGAGCTGGAATACAACGTTGAGGAGGAACTTGCTCGTTTCAAGGTAGGATGACCTTTCCCTCGCCATGTATTGTTGGTCTCGGAAGCACCTTTCCAGGAGCATCTAACAAAACCAGGATTACCGTCAACGCTTGGGCCCCTACATCGTCGATCAATTGGCCTTCCTTCAGAAGTACAAGGACGCCCCCAACACCCTCGTTGAGGGCGCCAACGCTCTCATGCTGGACCTGGACCACGGCACTTACCCCTTCGTGACCTCCTCGTCCACCGGTCTGGGCGGTGCCGTCCAGGCCCTCTCTCTCAACCCCACCAGCATCAGCTCCATCATCGGTGTCGTCAAGGCCTACACCACCCGTGTCGGCTCGGGTCCTTTCCCCAGTGAGCAGCTGAACGAATTCGGCGACAAGCTGCAGGGCGTGGGTAAGGAGTTCGGTGTCACCACCGGCCGTAGACGTCGTTGCGGTTGGTTCGACATGGTTCTGTGCCGTTACTCCCAAGCTATCAACCACTACACCGCTCTCAACCTGACCAAGCTGGACGTGCTCGATGACTTTGACGAGATCAAGGTCGGTGTCGCGTACATTCTGCCCGACGGCACCCGCACGGAGAACACGATGCCCGCCGATCCGGAAGTCCTGGAGAAGGTCCAGGTCGAGTATGTCACCCTCCCCGGCTGGAAGAGCAACACCATGGGTGTGAAGAAGTACGAGGACCTGCCTGCCAATGCTCGCGCGTATATCGAGTACATTGAGCGCGGGTTGGGCGGTGTTCCCGTCAAGTGGATCGGTACTGGTCCGGCTCGTGACCACATGATCTGCCGCGAGTAAAAGTGGTTGCTAGATACCGTTCATGACAAAAGGTTTGTGTTTTCTTCTTCATTGTGTTTGTTTATAATATCCAAAGACCCGGTGCAATCGGGATGGCTTCGTATGCAATGTGTATATGGATGATGTGATAACTGGCTCATTAGAGGTAGACGATGGTTGGGTATAGAGTACAGTTCGGAATTTACTTGTTATCTTCAAAGATGTAGCTGCTTTATAGTTAATAGTTGTATTCCATAATGCAGGTACCACGGTTCCAGCATCCTCCAACGTCTATCATCTCTCCTTGCGTGTAGTCTAACTCAGTGTCGGCAATCGGGTACGGTAGTAATGCCTTAGGCATGAACCACATGAGTTTCCTATCGAGTCGTCTAGCACAACGAGACCTTAGACAACAAATCCAAGTAAAGAAAGTAATTACCACAGCCTCAAAGATCACAAATCGGTCCTAAGCCCTACATAACCCCTTCGCACTGTCATACTGTGGTAGAATGATGATAGATACCTTTGCCGGCACATCGGCCATTTTCGGCTGGGCGGAGCACCCTCCACCAATCAGAGGCACGACAATATGATGACCGTATTCCCGATCGGACTCCCGAGGTTCCATTCTCAACTTCAGTTCACCTTTGCATCTGTCACTTGCTGTGCTTGTGTCTATCTAGCGCTGAGCATCGCGGTCACCACACCTCCCACCTCCTCCACTCCACTCCCTACAGCAAAAGCACATCCTGCAAAATGGCCTCCATCGCGCGCCAGTCTTCTCCCCTCCTCCGGTCGGCGTTCCGCGCTCCCTTCGCGACTAAGAATGTCGCGCAGGTTGTGGCTTTCCATGCTTCCGCTAAGAAGCAGATCTTGCCTCCTTTGCCTCGTGAGTTTGTCTATATATGAGTTGGATGCGATTGGATATTCTGGATGAGTTATGCTAATGGGTTGGTCGTTGCAGAGACTATTCAGGGAACGAGTACGTGATTTCTCCGGTTGCTCGGTTATTGGTTTTGGTTTTTGTCTACGGGAATTCGATATTCGGGATATCGATGTTGCTTGGACAGCCATGATCGAACTTGAAGGGCCGATATGCATAAAATGTCTGGAATATGCTCTGACAGCTCGACGCAGTGAACGACCCCGCTCCCATCCCCAAGTCTCACCCTACCGAGGGTAGCTACCACTGGACTTTCGAGAGGTGCGTTTACCCTCTAGTTTGATATCCATCGGATATACATGGATGGTTCGAAGGATTGATGAACAGGGGATATGAAAACTAACGATAATAGAATCGTCTCTGCCGGTCTCGTCCCTCTCTGCATTGCTCCCTTCGCTGCTGGTTCCATGAGCCCCGTCATGGACGCCGTCCTCTGCTCCGCTATCGTGGTTCACTCTCACATTGGTTTCCAGTACGTCTTTCCTCCCTCTCTTTGCCTTTATTAAGCCCCCCCGCGCGCGTGTGGAATCTAAGACTAGAGACTAATAAATAACAGCGCCTCCATCACCGACTACTTCCCTACTCGCCGTGTCCCCAAGACCCACACCTTCATGATCTGGCTGCTCCGCGCGTTCACCCTCAGCACGGCCGTCGGTCTGTACGAGTTCGAGACGAACGACGTTGGTGTGACGGAGGCTCTCCGCCGGGTGTGGAACGCATAGACTCCTAGGGATGTGTGTTGTTTTGTGATATGGTTTTAGTTTTTATTACTGCTTGTGGTTTGTTTTGGGCGTATGTGCCGCTCTCTGCCTCTGTGTACATGTTCTGATTCCTATATTTTGGCTCATCGAGCTATAAAAGATGTACTTTGAAATATACCTTTACTTTTTCTATCATCATCACTATATACATAGATACCCGTCCCCATTCCATCAATCCCTCAAATCCAAACTACTACTCCATATTATACTCATACTATAAGATTACTCCTCAACTACTCCTCCCCCTCCCCCTCCCCCTCCTCATCACTCCCCCCCTCCCCATCCAACAAATCCTCATCATCCGCCCTAACCACCACCTTCTCCATTAACCAAAGCGCCTTCTTCAACGGCAACCCCACAACATTATCAAACCCGCCCTCAATCCTCTCCACAAGAATACTCCCCAACCCCTGAATCCCATACCCACCCGCCTTATCCGCGCCCTCCCTCGTCCTCACATACGCCAAAATAACCTCATCACTAACCCCCTGATCAAACCACACCTTCGTCTCCTCCAGACAACTCTCCAACGCATAACCCGGCACCCTCGCACTCGCCAACGGCGTCATCGCCACAAGCGCCGTATACACCTTATGTTCCCCCGCATCCCTCAACCCCTTCAACATCGCGATGTGATGCGCCTCGCTCCGCGGCTTCTCTAATATACTCCCCGTGGAAGTGTCCACGATGACGGTGTCCGCTGCTAGAATGAATGGGTCGCCTTTCGGCGAGTCGATTTCCTGCGCGTACACGGCTTGTGCCTTTTGCGTGGCGGTTTGGAGGACGTATTCGAAGGGGGGGAGCGTCTTGGGTAGGTCTTCGGGGGTGTTGGAGGGGATTATTTCCATGTTTGGGAGGGAGAGGAGGGAGAGGATTTGTCGACGGCGTGGGGAGGATGAGGCCAGGATGAAGCGCTTTGAGCGTAGGTGGGTTAGGATTGGGAGGGAGAGCGGGGGTGGGCGGGGGAGTAGGGAGGCGCGTTTTTGGTGGTTGGGTTGGTTGGTGGTGCTGGTGTTGCTGGTGGTGTAGGCTGGTGGGGGGTCGTCGGATTCGGGCTCCGTTTGGGAGAGGAGGGATTGTTTGCTGTCGGACATTTTGGGATTGTCCCCTTTTGGGTTGGGTGGGAGGTTGGTTGGTGGTAGGAAAGGTATCTTAAGTGAGGTGTTGGGTATGTGCCAGTCGTGATGGGGGTATGGTGGTGGTGTTGAATTTGATAGACGGGCGGTGAGACTCGGCAGTTGTGATAATGCAGATAGTAGATAGATACGAGATAGTGATACGAGTTGGGCGTGCATGTGATGGTGGTCCATGCTGCATGTTTATTGCTAGGTTTGTAGTATGTTGAGTATTGGGGATTAAGGTTAAGCTTAATGCTTCAGGAGAGTTGGTGTGGTACAGATTGTCTCCCTGCATATGGTTTCGTTTATACTGTCTACTCCATATGGAAAGCTGCATGACAGTAATTACCAATTCCAGTCTGGCTTCAACATGTAGTATCTGCTAACTAAATAACTGAACTCATAATGCCGCCAATGTATATATGCAGCAGTGCAACAATCTCAACAGTAACATTCAGGACCTTCTCATCCCTATATACCAAATACAACGCCATCCCGCCTCAAGACCCTAGGCCGAGAAGCCTCCGTAGAGGCCAAAATGAAATTACCACAACCATCGCCCATTGCAATTGCACAATATCACCACTACCAACCAACCGGTCAAGACCCAGCGCCGGACTTTTTCCTTTCCAAATATCATTTAAGAGTCGCGTGACGCATGTTGCATAGTCTCATCCACCGCAAAAGCAAGTCATAATCATCATCAACAACAGCATGCCGCTCGGACCTCGGCAGCATCAGTTGCGAAACGAATCATCAATGCGCCCTCCACGACGCTCAATCTCCGCAATCAATTCCTGTCGTTCCTGCAGCTGAAGCTGGATAAAGTCCACCGTCTTGCGAAGCACGATACTCTCACTGCGACCCTGGCCCTCCAAGCCAGGCACCAGCTCGGTCAATCGATCGAAGCCCTCCCGAATTGCGGCGCGGCGTTTCTGCTCCGAAGCAATGTGGTTATTCTTCTTTTCCTGCTCGGTGAGCCGCGGCTTGTCCTTGTCTTGTGCGTTGGCCGCTGAAGAGGCCGAGGCGGGCTTGGAGGAGTTGCCGGTGGGTGTGGTGGATGGGGAACGGTCGTCGCGATCGTCGGAATGAGTGGTTGCGCCGCCGGGCAGGGGAGAGTAGGATGGTTCTGAAGAGCTGGAAGCCAGGGAGGCAGGAGGTCGTGCAGATGGCATCGTGGTTCTTCTGGGAGTATATAGGAGTGGACGAGAGAATGCGATTGTTGTCGTTCATACAGCGACTATCATGTGCTTCTTGCTGGGGTGGGATTTTCATGTGACAACCAAACAGGGTAGTTCTGCGGGGAAGAGAAGAGCAGAGAAGAAAACAAAGAAACAACAACAATACAGATGTGAAAGAGAGAGACTGAGTGGGAGATAATGAACGAAGATTATGAAGAGATATGTAAAGAGAAAGGAGACAAGACTAGAGATTCATTGCAGACTCCAGCTCATTAGGGGGGAACGAACTTGCTGGGTTTCTGGACCAATGGAGCGGAGGTCCATAAATGGGAACCGCGATCGACTTGGAGCGGAGTGTACCATTTGAGGGATTAAGATCACCGCCAACTGGCCAGTCCCTGGATCGCGGCCTCACCCGCGTAACGTCATCGATCGTTCAGGTTGCTTCTAGATTCCTTCAGATACCTTCTTCTCCTGCACCTCCCCATTATATTGTCTCCATTCTGCCTCCACCAATTCTAGAGATACAATTAGGCCTAGAAGCCTACTCTGAGGTCGCGTCCTCTCGGTCTTCGTTCTTCCAAATTGATCGACTCGATCTATGACTTCACACTAGCGCTGTTTCACTATTACTTAGATACCCCGATCGGAGATAAACGCCACAACATGACTAGTCACGAGCATCTCCGCGGCTCCTGTCAATGTGGGAGAAATCAATATCAGATCCGACTTCCCGACGACATAACTGACCATGCCCACGTTTACTTGGACACCGGCCGAGACAATCGTACGTCACCCTTCACCTAATATATACTTCAAATAGTAGCACTGACCACAAAATGGACAGGAAGATTCCACGCAGCTCCGCTGACAGCCTGGCTTCGAGTCCCTCTAACCTGGTACCAATCTCATACTCAATCCTACTTCCCAGATGAAACACACAGCACCATCCGTCGCATCTTCTCCCCGCACCATGCGCCACATACCCAGCGGGTCTTCTGCGGCTACTGCGGCACGCCACTCACATTCTGGAGCGAGGATCCGCGTGAAGAAGCAGACTACATGTCTGTGTCGATAGGAAGTTTGTTTGGCGATGGCCAGCGCATGTTAGAGGACTTGGAGCTGTTGCCTCCGGAATCGCCTCCCCATTCGTCTGATGAAGAGAGGGAAACAGAAGAGGAAGAAGTGGAGCCTGTGAAGAGAAAGGAAAAGGTTGTTGTTAGTCCGGCTACTGCGCAACAAGACACCCGCTCGTCAGATGTGGTCATTCCATCTGGGTCGGCGGTCTCACGGAGTTACAGACATGGCACACTGGGCGGGATCCCGTGGTTCGAAGAGATGGTGGAGGGCAGTCGACTGGGGAGGATGATGAAGACTAGGCGTGGCGTAGGGGTAAGTGATGATAAGTCTACGAGCTTTGAGTGGGAGATTAGCGAGTGGACGAGCGATAGTACGCAGGCGGCGGGGAAACGAAAGCGCGGTCATCATACTAATGTGGAGGATATCGAATCTACTTAGAGAGTTGATGGTCGATGTCTAATCTGGAGTCTGGAGGCGACTCGTTGTGTACTTAGTTGTTGAAGACCCTCTCAAATAAGATTATATCATAATTTGACTGTAAAGAGCAGAGATGTTATCTCAACTAATTCACGAAGCATGACAGTAGATGCATGTTCGTCCTGCACACAGATCGCTGGTTCACTGCATCCAAACCTAACAGGTGAACAGCAATCACACCAACAAGCCCATTAACCAGTAGATAGATTCAAATCACACCCCAAATTAACTCTGTGAGAACCATTCCCCAGGCGCGCCTCCCGTCACTGCAAAGCTTCCTATTCGGGAATCGCCTCGCCTAAGTTGCCGTATCTTCACAAAAGTGAAGGACAAGTTTGCCTACCTTGCACAACAAAAAACACTGAGAATCCTAATTCTCTCTTTCTCTCCTCTTCTCGAAGCCATGGAGGGTGATTGTGGCCCTTGTCCAGTCACCCTCCATGTCTTTATTCCGTTGTTCAAGTATCAAAGCTCTGGTTAGGGCATGTTGTTCTGGTTCTCTTTGAACTGGACGGGAACAGCATATCTCGGTGCTGGTGACGCGTCGTCACACAGGCGTACAGGCAAGGTTGCTTTGTGCAGAAGGGTATCTGCTGTGTAGGTTTTTGCTGGATAGCTTAAGCCTTGTTCTGCCAAACTAGGATGATCACTAACCATGATAATAGGTTGGCTGCATATGCACTCATGTTGACTTTGGATTCTTCTAGGCTGGACAGACAATATCCCAGATCGATGTTGTCTCTAATAGCCCTGATGGAGAGACTTGTGTCCTAAGTCCAAGAGAGGAGTCCAGGCTGGGGAGCAAGCAACCCCAGTGATGACAACCACCTAATGTGTCTGCTTGCATTATGCCCCGTGTCTGGAGCCCTAAGAACTCAATGCATCAGACAGCATGGACCACGTATAGATCACCAATGTCTAGCCCCTGGTGTGGAAACTGCCAGCTCTGTGTCATATGTTGCCATGCACCTTTGATCCCCAGCTTATGATAGCGTGTCGGACACGAAGGAATGAGGAATCCGTGGAGTAACTGTTGCTCGAAGTGGAATATCAAAGCCAAGTCAGTCGAAGCCTAGTCAAAGCGCAACAATAAATACGCACCGAGACTTAGTACTGCAGGTCCCTGAGACGGAAGCTATCGTCAGTTAAACTCATTATGTCCGGGAGCATTCTGAAAAGCAACAAGATTGGCAGCCTATGACATACAATGATCAGCCAGTCTTCAATGTCAAGATAAAATATTGGCTTAGCTGTCGTGCAGGTTTCCTGCCATAGAGGCCCGGTTATTGGGAATGACGCCAAAGGCAAACAGATTTCGAGTTGGCTAACCTAGGACGTCCAGACATTTCCGTTTTGCAGAACGGATGCTGTCAAGTTCCGACTCCCATGGTTAGTCAAAGAAGTACTGTCCATGACCACAGAGTATATGAGTGGAAGCAAGTGCAGTCTGAGATCTCTCTACCTTGTGGGTCTTTCTGTCTTTTATAGCCTGCCAGGAGCATATACATGCAACCTGGTAGCCAGTCTGGGCCTAGTCACCTGGTATCAGAGACCATTACGGCAGCACACCATACCCTCCCGGTGAATGCTGCGGACAGCCCTCTTGATGCTTGTTTCTTGCCGTCAATCTTACGCTCTCCTGTCTTGTCTTTTTGCAGGGAACACAGCTTTCGTTTGCTCCTTGACCAAACTGAGCAGGAGATGTCTTTTTGACTGATTCCCCTTGCCCGGCCAACACTCGCTTCTCCCACATTCTCTTCCGCTTCGTCTACTTTCGTTTCTCAGGCATCTTCAATAGCTTCTTCTGCTTCATCTTGCAGCTTCAGGTTTCCCTGTACTTGTTGATAAGCGCGTACATCAAGCTCTTCTGTCTGCTTGCTTGCTTTGGAAGATCAAGAACATCTAGCATCTCGTCTTCTCTTCTCATCTCTCGCGTCGTGTTCTGTCTTCTTGAGACTTTAACACACAAATTCCCTCACTACACTTCCTGTTTTCTTTACAACACGCTGAAGGTTGCGTTCATCGTCCGCTGTTCTCGTCTTCCCCTCTCGTCTACATCTCCTCTTAAGAACAACATCATCATAATTGCTTCTTACTGCTATCCCTCTTATTCTCATCTTCAGGAAAGCAGAGATACTCTCGCTGAGATACCAAGCATTCTGTGTAAAGACACAGAGTTACGTGTTTTGAGACTACTTCAATCTCTTCTACTTCTCTTTTCAAGAAGAACATCAGCATACTTCCTCTTTTCCCCTTTCATCCGCGTGTTCAAGACAGTCGAATACTCTTGTCGAGGCCTTCATCTTTCTCTTCTACGGACACAGAGTAACGTGTCTCATACTACAAACTTCTCTATGCATCTCTTCTGAAGAACACCAACATCATACGTGCTTGTTATTTCTTCCCCTCTCATTTTGATCCCAGAAACAGTTGAGATACCCTTGTGCCATCAGTTCTCTCTCCTACAGACACAGAGTTACGCGTTCTGAAACTACATCTCTCTCATATCGTCACATCCTTCGAGGGTCTTCTGCTACAGACACAGTAAAGTGTTCTGAAACTACACATCTCTTCTCGTTTCACTTCCAATCTTCATCTGTGTTTGATACACTCAACATCTCATATCTCCACTATGTCCTTCAACACGAAGAACATTTCTTTCAGATCTCCCCTTGAGGAAATTATCTCTCCTGCTGAGAACACCAGGGCCACGGGCCGTGAGGATGGTCGTCGGGAGATCAGAGGTAAGAATTGTCTTTTGATTTTGTGTTGTCGAAAGTAGGATGTGGTGTCTTCTGTGGGAAGCACTTACGATGGGACATGGCGTCGGTGGTTGTGAGCCTAGTATATTCGTGCCTGAGCTTATGTTCTACGCATCAATGACCGAGCTGTCCTAGCACAAAGGTGTTTCACATTCTTACTGCTCTGTGCTAATTACTTTCTAGGAGCCACACGGAGTGGTTACCCATACACCCGGGATATCAACCCGGCTCAGACGATCGCTTATCCATCGCCGTATAACCCTAGTAGGTACGGGCTGTCGGATCATGCAACACTCATGCTAACCTACAAAAAGATGATTCTACTTTCTGGCGGGACGCAGGAGTAAACAAATATACCGCCTTGCATTCCCACCCAGTCCACCCACTTCATATCCCCAGCGGATACACTCAGAACGTTGGCGCAGGACTCGAGTCGTATTCGCCACAAGGGACGCGTGCAAGCTATGAGCCGCGTAGTGCTATCCCCACTGCTGTAGACAGGCGCCAGGCATTAGCCGAGGAACTTGCTGGAGGTGCTCAGGTAGCAGAGGTGTCTTGCATGCCTCACTACCAACCTCTAATCGAAAGAGCTCGCAATGCACCAGGCTGGGATGACGACCAGCGCGAAAACCGCACTCCTCTCACGCAGCGAGTAACTCGTCTGCCACATGGCCCAACTCTGAAAATCGCATCTGCGGCCGACGAGATCATTTTGGGAACAGGCAAAAGTAACCCGAACTATGCCGTTACCGAATTGTCGGACCCCGCGAAACTTCGGTATGTTGACAGGCCAGTGTCAACCGAGCAAACAAGCAGCGAAGACGACGAATACTCTTCCGACTACTCGCCAACCACCCTCCCCCCAATCACCAAAGATGTCGACCGACCCCCCATCCCCCCTAGAAACGCCACAAGAAGCGGGGTTGGGGGCCAGGCACGACACAACAAACCAAAGCCAGCGCCCGAAAACCAGACAGAGCTCTTTTTCGAAGATGCACATGCGGGCGATGAGCCGCCACTCACGCCACGCCAATAATACATCGAGAGACCGTCTTCTTCCGGCGCTGGTACACGCAACCAAACGACCACACTAGTGAGAGCAGGAGACTTGACCATCACTTTGTCGGAGCCTGTCAGCCCTTTCCGTGCCCCTATATCTCGCAATACCTCAATGCCAGAGGTCACGGAGGGCGCCACAGCTCACGATAGGTTTCCACCACGATCAGTCTCTCTCCAGCCACTGCGAGGTCTCCCAGCCGAAATCGATAGCCACGGACCTCATACGACCTTCGATGAGATCATCCCGCCCGTCTCAAATGCAACTGCCCGGAAGGCCTTTAGCCTCCGTAGTATCTTGCAGAAGGCTCGGGGCGGAGAGAAGAGTCGTGTGGGCCGAGCTACCAAATCGAACTCGCGAAGCAGCAGTAGCGGTGCCGGCAAGACGGCTTTCAAGGGCAGGAAGTTTGGGAAGAACGCACGCAACCCAACGACTTCGCTTGGAGCTATATCAACGCCGATAGTTGTGCCTACTCCCTCATTGTTGCAGCAACTTGGAAGGAACCACATCGACCTTAGCCCAAGTCAAGACACTCCTGCATATCTTCAGCAGGCAGTGTCGACACCGTTCAAGCCCGCCACTCCGGAATCACCGAACCGCCATGCTCCGCCAACATCGTTTGCCACGCACAATATGAATGCCATGGCTGGGCATCACGAAACCCTGACCATGCCTCCACTTCCTCTGTCTCGCCCTACAGAACTTCGCAGACCAGAGGGAAACGCAACTAGTGATGCAGGAGTGCAGACCGAACCATCCGCCAACGGTTCGGCCTGGACCTGCGCACACTTCGATGCACTCAGTGAATCCGTCTGCAGAAAAGTCCGAGAAGCGAACACAAGTGCACAAAGAGACCAGTACCTTGAGGTAAGTCTTTCAACACTGTCCAGATCTTGTACAGATGACTGATAATGTAGATAGATGGCTCTTGAAGTTCAGAAGCTGCTCGTCGACTACCAGCGGTTGGGAGAGGTTGTTGAAGACACTTCTAAGTTCCTCAACCAGAAGATGATAGAAAGGAAGTCGATCGAGACCAAGCTTCGAGCTATGATGGAGGAGTCATAGGTTAGATTTTGCCTTCTGCTAATCAGTGTGTGAGCCAATTGAGCATAAGTGAAGGATATTTCCAGTCAGACTTACCAACAATATGTGGTATAGTTCCTTCCCTTGTCCCTCTTTTCCTTATTCTGTTTCGTTGCCGCCCCACACCTTGCTGAGGTGGGCAGAGAAGAAAGAAGATCATGAAAGGGAAAGAATGGAATTATGTCAAAGATTTGACAACCCAACTGCTGTGGCCTTGGTATTCATTCGTAGCTTTCTCATGTCCTCTTCATAACCTGATCCTAGTTCTGGTTCGTGTCTTCTCTACTACTGTTCATTATCCGAGTTCAGATAATATGACAGAAGTGGTCTTTGAAAGAACGGTAATTCCACTGAAAACACTAAGAACTAGGAATGTGAGCTGACGTACTTGAAGATGTCGATAAGGAACATACCTGACGCGAAATGATGATCTGGTGCATGACCACTCAGCCTGACCGGCGCCTGCCGGTCAGGCTGAGGCGTAGTAGACGGAGATGTAGAAACAAAGGCAGTGTGCGATCTGGGAAGAATTTCACAGGGGCGCGACCAACACAAGCGAGAAGTAGGCGCCTCAGGCGCGATGTTCGCATGGTGAATGAGCAATCGAATGAATGAGAGTGACTCGCCACACTCATCTGGTGCAGACAAGCTCTTTCTCTTTCGCTTCTTTCTCTACCGCAACAAAGCATCGCACTCTCCTTTGTTACATCGACACCCCGGCCAGGTTCCTTCCCTACGTACGCCCCCGAGTCTGACTTGACGCTGGTAGGGTCAAGTAAACTACTAGGTGAGTTTGTTCAGCTCCCTTAACAGTATCGGGTCGACTGTCTTGACCTCTACCATCTTTCGTTCCTTCCATTGTACTGCATCCTCACGATATACACGTCTGCTCACTATCACTTACACTATGATCTTTCCCCTGAGACTTGAGATCGAGCCTGAGATTCGCAGAACAGCTTCAGTGCCCACTTATCCTTCTGTTGAGCGCCTTGATGATACGCTACGCATGCTTGAGATGCTGACTCTCTCTTGATACCAGGGTCTTATCGAAGCCATCATGGCCAATCACACCAATAGAAGACGAGGAAACCGCAGACAACAGGAGGAGCCCTGCCAGCCAAGTCTGTATTGTGATCCGTCGACTATGCGTCAGAACACCTTTGGTCCTGAGCTCCCTGCCGTTGCTAGTGCATCTGTGCATAACACTTTCTGCCCTAATCTGCCTCAGGCAAGCCATCTCGCCATGCGATTGGATCACCAGCAGAAGGAGATGGAGAACTGGAACAGAATGCAAATGGAACAGTTCCGTTTTCCAGGCCCTCAGCCGGTGAGTATTCTCGAACTCGAATAATCATGTAGAGAAAGCTTCTAACAAGCGCTCTTTCAAGATGTATGAGGCACCTGGTCTAGCTCCTAATGGACCTCCACTCAGCCCTGAAACTCGTGCTATGTCACCAATGTACACCATGCCACCAATGCACTACGCACCCTACGCTTTGCCTGCCACTGGGCCCCTGATTGTGGGATCAGTGCAGCCCGGAATCTCTGGAGAAGGTGAAAGATTCCAGGGCCTCAATGCAGGGGCGAGCGGGAACACCAGAAACTGCTACCCCAGCTCTACTCTTCGTGGAGATGCACCTGAGTTCGTCCCGAAAGCGAAACGCCAAGTGAATGAGGCCCAGCGTTTGGTCCCAAATGCCAATACCGTGTTCATTGTCAGTAGCACCGGTCAACACATGATGCGAGGACGGTGAGACTTTGGCGACCTTTTCCGGATAATACACTGCGTTGTTATTGTCTTTTGGAGATGCCGAGGGCTTGCTTTGCTATTTTCACACTCACTTAGCTTTCACCTTTGAGACAGACTTCATAAACATTGGAGCAACATGGAAAGCTGGATCTCAGGATTGGGTCTCTCTTACCTGCTGTTTTTACTTGTGGTTCGTCTTCGGTAGAAGCTCAATCGGCTGGGTGCTCTCGCTTACGTGGGACTCTCATGGCTTCATTTCTGCTAGATAGATATCAGCTAATCGGAATGCTAATGAGAATATTACACCCGCTCTGGTTCTGGACCGTGACCTTTGACCTGATAAAGGATTGGCTGCATACCCTCCGGCTATATCTGCCACTTTGGGAATGACATGCTGGTTTGACTTGATTCCTTAGAGAGGTAAACTGCTTGTCCAATGGTTACTTGAGTATTGCCGCTACCATTCAGCAAAAGTGATCTTATCAGGCTGAAACTATAGCCCCAGTACCGGTTCTATCCCTGTAATCTACGTAGACAGACAACGAATGATAAAGATCCCGACGACTGTCACACGGGATGGCTTGTCACACCCCCAGATCAAGCTGAAGGCTTCTTTTGCAGGCCGTCTAACATTACCACTTCATCTTTGAATAATTTGAGATCAGTTTATCACTCAAACATACTTTCATTCATCCCACTTCAAACCAGAAATACCGTCACAATCTCAACAATGATGCTCGAAGGAGTCGCATTCATCACCGGTGCCGCATCAGGTCCATACTATCACCTACCCATCCCACTTCACTCCTCAAAGCAAACCAAAATAACCTAATACTCTACAACAGGCATCGGAAAAGCCACCGCCTATGCTCTCGCCCGACACGGCGTCCGCCAGCTCGCTATCGCTGATGTTAACTTCGCTGTGACACAGGAAATAGCCCAGGACATCGAGGCCCGCTTCAGTGGAGTGAGAGCGCTCCCGCTGTGCATTGACGTGACCGATCCGGTCTCTATCCACGAGGCTGTATCAGAGACGGTGAAGCAATTCGAGAGGATCGATTATGCGGTCAATAGTGCTGGGATTGCTGGGTCGATGGCGTATTCGGGGGATCATGATATCAAGGATTGGGAGAAGACGTTGGGGGTCAATTTGCATGGGGTGTGGATGTCGAGTCGGGAGGAGATTAAGGTTATGATGGGGCAGGAGAAGAGGGGTGATAGGTGAGGTTTTTAGTTTCCCTTGGAATTGGGATGATGAGGATGGGGTTTGGTCAGTGCTAATGTGTGATGTGTGCAGTCCCCGTTCATCACGAGGTGTCATTGTCAATGTGGCATCTGCATATGGTCTTGTTGCGACGCCGGTCAATATACCCATCGTTTCTTATACGGCTGCGAAACATGGTGTGGTTGGGATGACCAAGGCTGATGCTATTGTCTACGCGCCTCTGGGGATCCGGATTAATGCTATCTGTCCTGGTTATGTTCAGACACCGATGATCGATCAGATGCCTGATGAAGTGATGCAGAAGGAAGTGGCGAGAGTCCCCGTGGGGAGATTGGCGGATGCAGAGGAAATTGCGGACACGATTACGTTCATGTTGTCGCCGATGAGTAGCTATATGTATGGGTCTGCGTTGGTGGTGGATGGGTAGGTCGTTCTTTTCTTTTCTTGGAGGCTTTGCTGGATGGGTTTTGTGCTGACGATTATAGGGGATTTATTGCGCAGTAAGATGGGGATCGCGTGTGGGCGTTTGCTGTTGTGTATGTGGATGTGTAGCCTAAGAGGGAGAGTTGGCGCTGGCTCAGACCCTCGGCTGTTATTGCCATTCTGCTCGGCTATCGGGAATGCATGCATGATGTCCAATAGTGTTGATGATGCCAATGCACAGCTGACACTTCCGCGGGTTGCCTGAAAAATCCGAAAAGCTTTCCCCTTCGGGACGTTTGCTTTCCACGTCTGCTTCCTTTCGCTCATCATAGCGCAAATGCCTGTCAGGATGAGATTTATGAAAGTTTTCACTTTCACTCATCAGCTTGCCAACTCACAGCTGTCATATGACAGATGCTCTTAGGTGACTGGCTGCGGCGATGCCGATTTTATGATGGTTTCCATGCTGGCCTGTTCTTCAGGTAGCTGTGTGAAAAGAAGCACACCGGAAATTACTCGGTTTTTTAGCGAGTCATGCTAAGACAGCAGATCAACCAGTCTTTCCCACATGGACCATAAACATGCCCGATCAAATCCCGGGTTCTGGAACTCGGATAGCGGCCCGATAGCTCAGTCTTGAACAGCCCCTTCGTGGATAGTTCTATCCACAGTTCTACACAACACGGCTCCTGCGAGGGGCCAGTTCACCATCGGCGACGATCATTGCAATAACTCAGTGGGTCTGAGCAGCAGTTTTGGTCCAGGATGGCCAATTACTCGACGCCCAAGCCCCACAGAACTAAGATCACCCAATGAGACCGGTGCATTCCTCTTTGTATGGAGTAGCCCAGATCAGCTTCATCGAAGGTTTGCCCTCAGCCCGCCAGCTATGTGAGCTTATTGAGTCATGAAAGCAACATCTGCAGGCGTTCCAATTTGTCGGAACTTTTCGCCAGCATATGCTAAAAAAGCCACAGGCCCGTTCACGAACACGAAGTGAGAAACAAGGCATGGCAATCAGGCCTCGAAAGCAGCAAACTCATTTGCTTCTTTCTTGCCCCTTTCGATGAAATGGAACATATAAGGCAGGGTAAGCCACTTGGCTCTCCCTTCGGTGTTGGCTTGTCTGGCTGCGGCTGCCATAACTTCTAATCTTGCCTCCGTTGCTTGGAATGTATTCCTTCAAATTCGGACTGGCCTTATTGGCATCAGTCTTCTCTCTGCTCTCGTGGGCCAATGGCAGCAATCTCCACGTGCGTGCCACCGGTAACACGGTGCGCTTCAATGTCACCTTGACATGGGAGGACTGGGCGCCGGCAGGCATCCCTCGCAAGATGATCCTCATGAACGGCCAATTTCCCGGACCGGCACTGCAGTTGCGGCAAGGGGATAATGTCGAGTTCCTAGTTACTAACCATCTTCCTACAAATACCACAGTGCATTTCCATGGTAGGTTTTGCTTAGTTATGTGCAATAACCAAGACTAACCCCTTCAAGGTATCGAGCAGCTTGACACTCCTTGGTCCGATGGCGTCCCCGGTTTATCGCAAAGACCTATCGCGCCGGGCGACAGTTTCCTCTACAAATGGCGAGCGACAAATTATGGAAGTTATTTCTACCATGCGCACACCAGAGGCCAAATTTGCGACGGTCTCTATGGCGCGATTTACATTCTCCCGGATGAATCAGTGGAGAAACCATTTCATCTAATCACGAACAACACAAGCGAGCTCCAAGCCATGCAAGCAGCTGAGCGGAGGACTAAACCTATAATGCTGTCCGACTGGCGGTTCTTGACTTCCGAAGAATTGTGGAGTGCGGAGGAAGCGACAGGACTAGACGCGATCTGTATCAATGCGGTCCTTATCAACGGCAAAGGATCGATCAGTTGTCCGGGTCAGCAAGCCTTCAATGAGCTGGCCAGCGCTGAGCAGAAGCAACTCATTGGTAACCTAAGCCTAACTGACACGGGGTATGTGTAACACACCTGATGTGTAACCGGTATCTAACAGGTTTATCTAGATGCATTCCACCAACGCTAGTGTCCGCTCAAGGCACATATTCTCACAACTACAGCGCTATGCCGCCTTCTATGTTTTATGGCTGCCGACCTGGCAATGGTGGTACCGAGCGTCTTCTGGTAGACCCATCTGTCAGATATGCCAGTTATGACTTGATCAGCGCGGCTGGTGTCTCGATGTTGACGTTTTCCATTGATGAGCACCCGATGTACGTCTATGCTATTGACGGACGGTACATCGAGCCTACGTTGGTGGATGCAGTTACTATAGCCAACGGAAACCGCTACTCCATTCTTGTCAAATTGGACAAGCCTGCCGGTAACTATACTGTTCGCGCGGCGAATTCAGGTATCAATCAAGTAATCAACGCGACTGCGGTCCTCACATACAACACGGCAATCAAGTCCCAGAAGGGCTCTTCGGTGCCTTCAATCGACATCCACGGATCGCCTGTGTCTTCCAACTACACTCTGTTGAATGAGACTACGATCATGCCATTCCCTGCAGAGACACCATCTTCAGAGGTCGCCGCGACCCATATCCTCAGGATCGGCCACTACAATGCTTCCTACCGGTGGACTGAGGGCAACTCTAGTTTCCCACTTTCTCTGGAAGCCGCATCGCCTTTGCTCTTTTATCCATCTACCGCTAAGCCTGATCTCACGGTCAAGACGCTAAATGGAACCTGGGTCGATTTGATCTTCCATGTGAACGGTCAGATTCAGCCTCCTCACCCGATTCACAAGCATAGCAACAAATTTTATGTGATCGGTCAAGGCAACGGCGCGTGGAATTACTCATCTGTGGCTGAGGCGATGCAATATATCCCGGAGAATTTCAACCTTAAGACTCCTCAGATTCGGGATACCTTCATCACTCCGGCTGCGGCGACCGAAGACACGTGGCTGGCGATCAGGTACCATGTCGTAAACCCCGGTGCATGGCTGCTCCATTGCCATATCCAGGTGCATCTGAGTGGTGGCATGGCGCTGGCTTTGTTGGATGGTGTGGACGAGTGGCCTGTGGTTCCAAAAGAGTACCAGCTCTCTGATTCCTGATAGTCGGAGGACACCTATTACTAGTAGTGATGATGTGAAAAGCCTATACTGTATATACACCACATGTTTGTTTATATGATGACTGCATGCTTAACGTATTCCCAAGAGGCCTAGTCAATTTAGTACCATTTTAGCTGAAAGATAAGCACCGTCTGAGTGACGTAGGAGTAAGCACAGGTTTCAATAGAAGGATGATTTAAAATCTGCGTAAAGCATGGGATAGTAAGCCCATCCAATGACGATGATTCCAAAGGAGTTAAAGTCAAATGCTAAGCAACGCGACCATCGCAAGGGATACTCGATCGGGTTAGGGGTGAGATGCACGTGGACGCGGGGATCGCTGCGCCTCAGGCACCTCGGCCAGCAGCGACCAGCCTCAAACGTTCTCCGAAGTCCTCACTTCATTCATATTCCGCGCTCCTCGTCGGAAAATCCCAGACATGAAGATCATCAGATAGTTTTGTATTTGCCGTGACACTACTACAAAGTGTCTGCTGTACAAAGGTTGGAACCCTGACCTGCCCCCATCCCCTGAGCTTCGCACTGGTTACCCGATTCAGCTGCACGTCAAACTGGCCCCCGCTATCCTCCAAATCTGGTCAGGTCAGAATGTATACTCATGCTGGATTCTAGTTTGATTAGTCCACAGCGCCACATTGCATTCCGTGCGACGCCCCGCCCCTGTCTAGTATTAGACATGGTTTTCTGCGGCAAACCAAGCAAGGGCTGCGGCGAATGCCGGTCTCGCAAAATCCGGTGCGACCAAGCCCGTCCTACCTGTTCACAATGTGCCAAGGGCAACCGGGTCTGTCCCGGATACCGCGACCAACTATCCTTGATGTTTCGGGATGAGAGCCAGCAAGTTATCCGGAAAGCGCGGACCGGGACAAAGGCCCGCAGAGCCAAGTCTTCTAGAAAGACCGACCCTGGTAGTACTAGTACCTGTAGTGCCCCAGCTGCTGCTGCTGCTTCCCCCAGTGGCAGTGGCATGGTAGCTGCTAGTCCTAGTCCAGACCCAGTGTGTTCCCCAGCAGGCAGTAATCCATCTTTATCGACCGGCGATCTGGAACCGCCTGAGTTCGACGGTCCTGTGTGTCTATCCCCACAATTTGTCGAGCAGCACGCCATACAACAGCCCCTAGTGTTGCAGCCATCGTATCAACCGACCAAAAATGAGGCTATTTCCTATTTCCTTCGGCAGAATGCTTGGATCGGATCGTTCTGGTCGAAGATTGAAGCAAATCCCGATATCTTGCGCAGGGCATCGGCAACTAGCCATGACGCCCTGATGACCAGCTTGGCTTCTGTTGGCATAGCAATGATCTCGCGTATCAGGAAATCTGAACCGATGAAAATAGCCGCAGAGAAGGAGTATGGAAATGCTTTACAGCTCCTCACCACGGCCGTTGCAGATCAACAGCAAGCTAAGAACAATGCAACGCTTGCCGCAGTGCTTATGTTGGCTATCTTCGAGGTAAGTCGACCTTGCTTGATTCAAGTCCTGATTCTAATGTCTTCCAGGTGATTACCAGTAGAGGTTCGCGCTTTATTGACAGTTGGACAAATCACATACGTGGCGCTGTAGCGCTGCTAGAGCTGCGAGGTGTGGAGCAGCTCCAGGACCCAGATGGGCTGCAGCTCTTTTTGCAGCTGCGATATCAAATCGTACGTGATAAAAGTCTACTTCGCCCCTAAATCGAGCGTTTGACTAACTTACAATGTGTAAAAGATCATAGGCTGTCTCCAAAGGGAGGCGCGTGTGCCCGACTCAGTTCTTCACTGTGTCAAAGTTGCCATGTTTCTTCGGCCGCATACAGTGGCCTATGGTGACCGCTTGATTAACATAATGGGCCGGCTAGCAAACCTGCGAGCTGACATCAAGGAAAAGATTTTAACCGACCGGAAGAAGATGCTTGAATCTGCATACGCCATCGAGGCTGAGTTAATGTCATGGCTCACGTCCTTGCCAGGGAACTTCCCCTATGCCACTATCGAAGATCCCTGGCCTACTCTTAATTGGGGTCCCAAGCCTTATAACAACGTCTATCATGTGTATACTGATTTTTGGATCTGCAACTCGTGGAACCAATACCGAGTCGCACGGATCATTACCAGCGATCTCATTCTGACATGTATCCGGGAGTTGAATTCCGGCTCACCCCTACCTGCCGATCTTGTCACGCATACCTCTCAGATCCGCGACACTGCCCGACAGCTCGCCAGCGATATCTGCGCCAGTGTGCCTTATTACTTTACCGATAGTGTCTTCAAGCTCGCCACTGGACAAGCAGAAATGAGTTCCCGCTATGAGATACCCTCACAACAAGGCTTTGTTCGCGGTCTGGTGCTCCTCTGGCCGCTGTCCATGGCAGCCGCAACGCGAGGGCTGAATCACCCATTACGGCACTGGGTGTTGGACTGTCTCCAGCTGATTGGACATGGCATGGGTATCGATCAGGCGCTGGCCTTGATTGAACTCCTGATGACTGAAGATGGTGTCTTTGACACGCTGGCCCTCCCGGAAGACAACAGCCTTTTAATCGGCTCGACCGGTGCTAACTTCAGCACCGATAACAGTGGCAAACACTGGACAGGAGCCTCGCGAAGTACATATACCACTCAGGTGGGGTGAGTGTCTGCGACAATACCCACAAAGTGGCAGGCCACGTGTAAATACATCCGATTAATCTGTCTAAATAGCGTTGATGCGGTGTCTGACATCGTCGCACATACTATATACCAATAGGCCTTCACATGAGGTCAAATCTACATAGCAACAGAGATAATACATACTTCAAATCTAATTTAGCTAATTGATTATACCAACTAATTAACTACTCAATCTTCTGGTCCGTGTGCCGTTCCCAGCCTGTCAAACCTTAGTAGTAGTACAGTATTGTGCCCGATGGTGGCTGTGCCCATGCCAACAACCTGGCTCAGTCTAAGCCTTACTGCTTTTCTGCGCAACGCTAAGCCCCTCCCCCGCAACCACACAACAAGCAGAAGGCTGTGCACGGAACCTTCCATCCAATTTCCACACTATCCATTCATCTTCTTCACAGGGAAGTGATAAGCCAAGTAAGTAGTAAGCAAGGAGGGTATCCTACACAGCCCCCTTTCCCCTCTAATATTCCTCCCACGAACTCCGATTTGCCCTGAGACTGGTACCCATGCCTCATGCCTGCATACATGCATGCATGTGCAGTATGCCTACTAGTAAGTAGTAGGGAAAACATCCATCCTTGTAAGGCTAGGGTATGAATCACCGAACTGGCAACTGGACTACACCCTACTACTACTAAGCTACTAGCTAGACTACTTACTTTTGCAGTGCATGCAGAATTCTCCCCACTGTGGATGGAATACTAGTAAGTGGGATGTAGGTTTTACTCCTTACACATTGAGGCAGTGTCACAACAAACACGGCGGTGGCACATTCACATACTCCATATAACTGACATGTGGAAATTAAACGGGCGGAGCAAACCTTGAAAGTCATACATGATAGTATTCTACTACTACTATCGGCCTTAGGCTCCCTTGAGTTTTCTGCCTTGTGAGAGTGCAGCACGCGCTTAGTTCCGTGGATTATGTCGTATGCACGTATACAATGCTTGTTTTTTGTTTCGTTGTATGGAACTTATAGCATAAGTATTGTGATATGGTGTCGTAGATCCGGAGGATACTACTACTAAGTAGTACTGTGGGAAGTTCCGATGCAGTAGATTTTTGAATCTGCCTTGGTGTGCTGTGGGGTCGATAGTAGTATATATATTTTGTTGGTTGCGGCACTGGCTTGGGTAGTAGTAGTGGTGGTTCTTACTACTTCTTTATTGCTCAGTTGCTAAGTAGTGACTGGCAAAGTGAAGGTCTCACCTGGCACTGACATCAGCCTGACTACTTACTTACTTACCTGTTCGAACGGTATTGTGTCATTGTCAGTTTCGACCCGTCACACCTTCCTGCCTTTATTCTTTCTTCCTTTCTTCCTCTCTCCTGCATCCTTTATTTACTATCAACATGCCCGGACCCTTTATGCGAAAGAGCATCGACTCTTTGTCAAATCTTGTCAGAGGAAATTCGCTACGACGTCGCCAGACTCAAGACCAAGATCAGAACCAGGAACAAGAGCAGTATCAGTACCCGGATCAAGCTCATACTCGATCATCCCCAACTAGTGGCCAAGAAGCATCGAATATGGGCCACTCTCATTCTCGACAGAGCAGGCATCGGTACGACTTCTCCGGCTCTGCGAACAGAAGTCCAGTGTCCCAGTCAACTGGAAAAGCGGCCATGAATAGCAGCCAGACTCCAGATCCCTGGGCCCCTCCGCCGTATGAACCACAGGCTGCTGCTGCTCCTGCTTCTTCTACCATCTCAGGAAGCAGTGATTCTCCATACTCTTTCCTGCGGGAGTTCGATACGATCTTCATCGTGGATGATAGTACGAGCATGCTGACGGGTAACCGCTGGAAGGAGGCTGAGAATGCTATTGCTGCTATCGCGCCTATTTGTACGCAGTATGATCAGGATGGAATTGACGTCTACTTTCTTAACCATCGCCGCCAGGGAGCTGAAAAGATGAAGGGTGGGTATATGAATATCAGAACAGCAGATGATGTTCGTGAGATATTTGGGAGTGTGTATCCGAATGGTCCGACGCCTTTTGGTCGACGACTTTACGAAATCCTCAATCCGTACATGCGAGATTTGCAAAAGGCGATTTCGAAGGGTGATGGATCGCGTGATTCGGCTCAACTCATGAAACCACTTAATATAATTGCGATTACGGATGGGGCATTTACAGACGATGCGGAGAGTGTCATTGCAGGAGTTGCGCAAAAGCTGGACGAGAAGAAATATCAGGCGGTGCCTTGGCAGGTTGGAATCCAATTCTTCCAGATCGGAAATGATGCCCAGGCAAGGGCGTATCTGCAGGAACTCGACGACAATTTGGCCGATATGCAGAAAAAAGACCATCTCCGTGATATTGTGGATACCGTGCCGTGGAGGGGTGATCAGGGGCAGACGCTGAGCGCCGATGGCATTCTAAAATGCGTCCTTGGCGCCGTGTCCAGGAAATATGATAAACGCGAAGCGTCGTTTCACCGCTAAGGAAGATCGGTTCTGGTCTTCTCGTGCGCTCGTCCCTTATCATCTACACATTCGTTGCCTTCATGGTTTTGCTTTTCACCGGCCCTTTTAGGGGTTGGCCATGGCTTGAGTCTAGACTCGATCCCTCATCTTCTTGACCCTGTCGTTTGTGTAACAGCGGCAGGGGTTGGGATGAAACGCGTTGCAGCAAGCGCCGTGTTGCCGCCGGCTTGCCCGGACCAGAGCCCGTATTAGAATAGGATTTTGTGACTGGTCAATCTTCCTCAGATAGTGAGAATCAAATCGGTTGCTCTCGGCTTTCTTTGCTTTTTTCAAGTCTTGCGTAGAAGGTAATGATTAGCGCTTTATCTGTACTACTTGTGAACTACGAAGCCCAGCTGTGGCCCCCCCGGGTAGTCCCGCTAAAATGAACTGTCCACGATTCAGTTAAGCAGGGTTAACCGATTGGTTGGTCATATTATATGGAGAGGTGAGTGCGTCGTGCTAGGTATCTAGTGACAGCCATCTGTCAGAGGGGGCTAGTCTAGAGGATACGGTTTACTGTCATTAGCCTTCGACTATTTGTTGTCCTCCAAACCTTGAATTTCATGGGAGGCCGATCGATCCTAGTTGCTCGGCAGCCGGGAAGTTAGTAGTCAAGGGACGGATACTGACTGGTCGCCGGGGTGCAGCCAAAGGCGCTGAGCAGGCCATTGGGACTTGATCTAAATGAATCAGCGACGGAGGGAAATTGATTGGCTAAACACGGCCAGTCAGTCCCCTGGGCGCGTAGACGCGCTGGTCCGTGAGGATGGATCACCGGCCTTGTCCTAGACCCCTGTCCTAGTGCTAGTTCCGTTAGTACGATGGAAACACTGGGTCGGGAGGAGATGGAAATTGACAAATCACCTTCGGATTGACCGGCGGTTTCTTCGTTTATGTGTTGCAATCCGGCTGGTCGTCGGGACAATGGGGAGAACAGGGAGACAATGAAACCGGGGGGAAGATGCAGGAGAGATGCAGCAACAATGGCTGGCGGCTGCAGTAGAAGGATGGAGGGAAGAAGCGACTGGCAGGCAGGCAGGCAGGCAATCAAGTTCAGCCCTCAGGCTGCCAGGCACGGTATCGTATCATTGGGTAAGATTGTTTCTTTTCCTCGAGCACCACCTGCGGGTCTCTCACGTGGTGTGGAGAAATGAGATCGTCGTGTATGCGTAATGTATTGATGGTGTCCCCTCAGGGTCGACTGTTTGTTTTCATCCATTGACAATGGGATTGGAGATCTCTTCATGACTGGCTGAAATAGTGGGCTTGATATGGTGAGACGAGTATAGGGTCAAAGTTCGGCTATGAAGAATAGCCTTTTTGGCCTGTCTTGCAAGGTATCAGGAGGGTTCCTTTTTACTTTTGTCATTTGGAAATTCACCAGCCTCAAGTGGCGAAGCAAGGTTCAATACGGTACGGTTATGTTCAAGCACCAGCCACCGCACCCCCAAAGGGGTAATACAGCGCGGGTCCGTCGTGGAATTATTCCCACCCGCCGGCGTCTCTCCAAGCAACGCTCGAGTCAACCCGAGTCAATCAAGTCAACCACTGGATCGGTTTCGTGGCTGGCTGCTTTTTTGTGATCCATCGATATTAATCACTCGGGCTTCTTTCGGTCTCCACCAACTAAGTTCCGACTAGACGGCAGTAGTGGTCCCCATGGACTCCTGTGTACGCTGGTTCGCCAGGAGTGATCAGCATCTTTCCCAGTCTTTGGCCGGTGGATCGAATCTCCCAGGAACCATGCTCGGATCTCATCGTGCCTTTTTTCCCCTTAACCGGCCGTCCCTCTCTGGTTGCCATGAAAACCTTCTCCTCATCCATCCTCGCTTGCAGGGGCGATCCCCTTTGTGACGTGGTTATTGCCCTGTCCAGTGGATCTCTTGATAAGCGCGCCGTGCGAACGATCGATTCAGCTGCTGAAATTCCACCGCAAGTCCACGCACTGTGCATCGAGTCTATTTGGTGACTATCATACTACCGATTGGATCTGCTCCGGCCGTCCTGCGCGCCCTGAAGCCGGTTCAGCCTGGCTGTCACCGACTTGTCTGGACCACGTGTGAAATCTCTTAATAACTCAATAAGAAGTCTGGTTCAAAACGTCCGACTCCTGCAGCAAGCGCCGCAATTTCTGCTCTGCCTCTCATCATCGTCCTTGGGCTCAGTCTCCGCCTTGTCGGCGCTTCCTACCCTCCATCACCCTGCATCATTGGTCGTGATTGAACGTTGCAATCTCCCGACCAAACTTCCATTTTTAACTTCCGCATCCCCGCGGCTAATGATACAGTGATCTCCAACAGTCATTGCCCACTGTTGGTGTCAGAACGTCCCCTGGATTGTTATGGCACGGCGCTTCTAAGCCTCTTCCTCAAGTCTTATATTGCCTCTCAACCGCGCGGGCAAGCGCAATCCTTTGAACTGCACGGCTCGAGCCTTTTGAAAAGCACAGCCCGACTAGGCTTACAGAACACTCCTTCAGTATTGCGCATTTTGACTCTGTCCTGGCTGGCCTTGGACATTGTTCATCGTCTTTCCTTCTACTGTATAATACGCGCCGCTTATATCACGGACCTCGCTGCAATTGCGGTCTTCTAGAACCCAACCACTAATTCATACTCACTACCCAATCGACGACTGTCAACTTGCTTCGTGCGAGAATGGCTTCCACTACTTTGATGACGTTCCTCCTGTAAGTGTACTTTGACGATATAGAGGGACCGCTGCTGATATCCATCATAGCTCCACCCACCCCCATGTTCAATCGGTCAAGCTGCTAGGGTCATGGGATAACTTTTCACAGCCCTATATTATGGAGAGAGATAAGCGCGTTGGTGCAGGGCAGTGGCGAGGATGCCACACCTTTAGCAACATCGTCTGTGATGGCTCGCCAACGCACATGACGCCAGCACGCTCTGGAGGACTCAAAATGGGCGGTACTTACTGGTATTATGTATGTTGTTACCTAATCTCTCCCTCTCAGAACATTGATCTGACCTTCGGTCTAGTACTTGCTGGACAATGATGTAGAATATTATAATGAGGCAGAGCCCGTGACAACTCACTGTCCTCTCCTTCCTGGTCAACCAGTCAATGTTCTCAACGTCCCAGTTATCCTCCCGGATACATTTCCCACTCATACACATGCGAGGAGTCCGAGCTCACAAAAGGCGGATCACCGAACCATGAACCCTGAAGACAAGTACATGAATCCTCGACAGCCACCTAAGCCAAAGCTCCCTCGTCTTCGCACGTCTCCTCCTTTGTTGCAACAACCGGCTCCGGCTTGGTCATTCAGCACATCTCCTCTCGGAATTATCACTCACAGAGGTGCATCGCAGCCTAGTAGCGCAACCCCAAAGGCGAAGGGCCTGGACGCACCGAGAGCAGCCGGATGCAAAGCCGCTCGCTCTGTGTCGCCGCCTAGATCAAGGGGTCTTCGCGCCGCCTTCCGACATTGGAACACATCTTCACCTGATCTCGGGTCCACTGAAGATGACTGCCGGGCTAATAAGCCCGCTGCAAATCATGGGCTCAAGGGCCTATTTGGGAGGCAAGAAGAGCATTCCTACCTCGCAGTCCAACCGCCTGCTACTTTTGAGAGCTCCCCACTTGCTGCTCCCAGCAACGTTTATCAACATTCGACTGATTCCCTCCTCCGCACACCCGGAAACTCTGGAGAACGCCGCTCGGTGCCTTTGACAATTCAGGACCGGCGAGCACTCAACTCAAAGATTACAGAGAATGGCTCTCACAGAACTCCTCTCACCGTACAGACCAAACCAGGAAGCGAAAGTTCCGATAAACTCCCGACTCGGGAGGGACAGCGGCATATAGTCAGAAGATCACTGCCCATGGAGTCACCAGCGATGCTATCGACAGCTATTGGGCCCTCAACGTTCGATCTTACTACTACTCCAACCGGCTTCACGATCGATGAGAAGAGACTCCCGACATTGCCAAATACGCCGTCATCAGTCATGGATCAAGCGCTTCGGGACATCGATGAGCAAGAGAAGGCTCTCGACCCTGAGGCTCTAGGCAGCCACTTTTCGGACTTTACCGATACTGAGTCTGTGGCTGGCAGCTCCGTGTGTGAGCGGAGCCACTTTTCGGAGTGGACAGTGGATACGGATGTTCTGTCTCCCAAGTCTATGGCATGCTCAATCACTGTCACCCAAGATGCTCAGGTACCTCCCACGAACGACTTCGCTGGTACAATGGACTTCCTCAAAACTTCTATACCTGCGGATTTGAGTGATCCAGACACACCCCATCTTACAGTCAACTCTCAATCAGCGGCCACTTCCATCGCAGGTGATTCGCCTCGCTTGGATCTCCCTCTTCCTCGACTTTCCATTTCATTATCCCCCTCTGATCTTGACATCCCCGGTCTTTACATCGATGACGAAGATCGCGTGGAAAGCAACCCCAAGCGACACGCTGCCTTTTTCGGCGCAGACGAGTCGATCAAGGGTCTCGGCCTCTTACAGAGCCCCGACCCCTCGACGCTGCAATTTCCCGAGGATGTCACCAGCGACAAGACCCCCCGTAATTCCCAGAGCTTGGCTGCACCCTGCAAGGATTCTGAGCGCTTTAGCAGGGTTTCGTTACTGGGGCAATCTGCAGCAATGCGCGAAATGATGGATGAACTGAGCTATCTGAAGCACATGATAGATTCTGGCTCAGGTGCAGAATTCTGATACTATTGATGAATGGCGAGACATTGCTTATCGCACTTGTAAAAATACACTTTGAGGGGGGAACGGGGTGTGTGGATATATTATGTATATAATTATGACGTTGCATTTTAGCGATTAGAACCGATTCCTCATGATGGGCAAGTAAATAAAATTCAAATATTACACTTGCATATAATTATTGTCTCTCCTCCAAGGTATAAGTTAACATACTTTATTAGATGCTCTTCCCCAGTAGATCGGGAGCGGATCAACGCGAGCCAAACCAACGCGACAAAC